ATTTTAGGGGACATATGGTCTAATACTCCAACAGAGTATCAAAGAAAATTAGATTTAGAGTCAAGAAACATGACTTGTAATACTAGCCTTGTCCCTCAGCTTTCTCATTTGGAAGATGAGGACCTTGTTCTAAATTACACATTCCACTCCACCTCTAAGGCTCTTTCACTTACATGATTTCTGAAAACGACTTTTTGTGTAACCTGCGGTCTGGAACCGCAATTCTAGGTTTGATCACGTTCACTTTGGGGGCTTCTCAGTTGTTGTCTCTCTGCCTCATGCTGCCCCCCAGGATGTTGGTTTGCTTCTAGGTTTCCACAACAAAAAGAAAGAGGACTTGGATTCCCTTGTAAGCACTCAGGCTAATGCAACAATGGAGGGCAGGCTTGATTTAATAGAACCCCCCCCCACACACACACACACATGCATAATGTCTTTGTTGTTGTTGTTTCCTCTTTTTTATTTAAGTTTAATTATTTTTTAGTTTTCAACATTCACTTCCATAAGATTTTGTTTTAAATTTTCTCCCCCCTCCCTTTCCTCCCCTCTCCCCAAGACAGCATACAACCTGATATAGGCTCCGCATATACATTCATGTTAAGCACATTTTCCCATTAGTCACAATGTAAAGAACAATTAGAACTAATGGGAGGAATCACGAGAACGAGGCAATAAAACAAAACAACAAAGGAAGAGGAGAGCAAATAGTCTGCTTCCATCTGCATTCAGACTCCATAGTTCTTTCTCTGGGTGTGGATGGCAATTTCAATCATGAGTCTTTTGGAATTGTCTTAGATCCCCAATTCATAGACATCCCCTCAAATGTCCAATTCTTGTCCCCACAAAAAAGAGCCACTATAAGTATTTTTGTACACGCAGGTCCTTTTCCCATTTGTGTGATCTCTTTGGGATACAGCCCTAGAAGGGCCATTGCTGGGTGAAAGGGTATACATATTTTTATAGCCCTTTGGGCAGTTCCAAATTGCTCTCCAAAATGGTTGGATCAGTTCACAACTCCACTAACAATGCATTAGTGTTCCAATTTTCTCCAACATTTATTATTTTTCTGTTTTGTCATGTTAGCCAATCTGATAGGTGTGATGTGGTACCTCAGAGTCGTTTTGATTTGCATTTCTCTAATCAATAATGATTTAGTGCATTTTTTCATATAACTATAGATAGCTTTAATTTCTTCCTCTGAAAACTGCTTGTTCATATACTTCGACCATTTCTCAATTGGGGAATGACTTGTATTCTTATAAATCTGACTTAGCTCTCTATATATTTTAGAAATGAGGCCTTTATCAGAGACACAGGGTGTAAAAATTCTTTCCCAGTTTTCTGCCTTTCTCCTAATCTTGGATGCATTGGCTTTATTTATGCAAAACTTTCCAATTTAACATAATTACAATTGTTCATTTTGCATTTCATAATGTTTTCTATCTCTTGTTGGGTCATAAATTCTTCCCTTCTCCATAGATCTGAAAGGTAAACTATTCCTTACTCTTCTAGTTTGCTTATAGTATCAGTCTTTATACCTAAATCATGCATGCATTTTGACTTTACCTTGGTGTAGGGTATAAAATGTTGGTCTATGCCCAGTTTCTGCCACACATTTTTCCAGTTTTCCCAGTAGTTTTTGCTAAAGAGTGGGTTCTTATCCCAGAAGCTGGAGTCTTTGGATTTATCAAATAATAGATTACTATAGTCACTGACTACTGTGTCTTGCATATTTAACCTATTCATTCCCCTGATCCACCACTGTATTTCTCAGCCAGTCCCAAGCAGTTTTGATGATTGCTGCTTTATAATACAATTGAAGATCTGGTACAACTAGGCCACCTTCCCCTGCATTTCTTTTCATTAGTTCCCTTGATATTCTGGACCTTTTGTTCTTCCAGATGAGTTTTGTTGCTGTTTTTTCTAGCTCTATAAAATAATTTTTGGTAGTTTGATAGTAAGCAATGTAACAATATAGGGCAGGTTTATTTAATAGAAACCCTGTTCTCCTCCCCACACACACAATGTCTTGCCCTTGATCTCAGAAACAGTCCACAAAACTCTTTGGCTAAGAAATCTCTCTAGTTCTCCAGACTGCCCTGGTTTGAGGCAAGGTTTTGCTCTTCCAAATTGTGGCCCTGTGCCTTGCAGCAAATTTGCTTTCTGTTCCCACTTGGGCCAGGGACTTTGTGGTTGCTGGAGTACCTGTGAAAGCTTCCTCCAGGGAACTGAGATCTCTGGAGACTGACTCACACCTCTCAGCCCTGGTGTCGTCTCCATCTGGCATTCTCCACCCTCCCTTTTAAAGGGCAAACCCAAGGGTGTAGTCTAAATTGTGAAGCAATGAATCATCTTCAGCTGTGACATCAACTTTACTGCTGGGACCAGGTAAGCAATTCCTACCTTACCAGGGAGTTGACCTTGTCAGGTAACTTCATGTTTGGTTTTTCTTTTTAAAAACGACATTTTATTTGTAGACTTTGTTTTTGTATCACCTACATTTCTCAGTGTGTCCTTTCCCCTTCCCAATTTTTTCAGGTCTCTTTTTTTAGCTAAACTTTCCCAGTTCACATTTGTTGTTCAATCACTTTTCAGTTGTATCTGATGCTTCATGATTTGGGGTTCTCTTGGCAAAGATACTAAAGCGGTTTGCCATTTGTTTCTCCAGCTCATTTTACAGATAAGGAAACTGAGGCAAACAGGGTTAAGTGATTTGCTCAGGGTCACACTGCTAGTACGCATCTTCCGCCGGATTTGAGCTCAGGAAGGTGAGGCTTCCTGATTCTCGGTGCTCTTCCCCCCCTGCGCCACCTAGTGGCCCATTCTCAGATGGCATGATCTAAAATCCCCTCACGGTAATTATTCTACGTGATTTGTCAATGCCTTCCCTAAAACGTCGTCACACTAATATTCTTTTGGTAGGGCTAAGAATTCATCCAATTATTTTGGAAAGCGATTTTATTTGGCCCAATATTACAGGCTGTCACACACACACACACACACACACACACACACACACACACACACATTTCAGCTCCTTTTCATGAATTATCTTCTATTAGAATGTAAGCTCCCTGAGGACAGGAACTGTCTACTTTTTTGCTTGTATTTGTAACTTCAGAGCTTAGCACAGTGCCTGGCTCATAGCAAGCACTCAGTTTGTTGCCTGCCTGCCTTTCAATTAACAAGCATTAGTTAAATCCTGAATATTTTTCTTCTTTTTTGTTCAATTTGTTTTTCAAAACTAAGAACTTGTAATTTTTTGTCATTGACCCAGTCTCGCCCTCTTGGCCTACTTAGGAGCTATTAGTCTCCCACAGTGGGTTAGGAGGCCATGTGGAAAAGGACTTTTGGGTACTAGCTTTCTGGGCTTTCTTCCAAGGGGGACAAGAGTCTGATTGCTTCTCTTGGGCAGCTGAACAGTAAGTGAGTTAAAGGTGGGACTTCCACAGAACCCGTCACCCCATGGTGAAAGATTGCTGACCCTCTGCCTTGGCGGGAGGCTGTCCTGCCCTCTGATTTCCCCAGACTCCAGGGGACGATAATCTGTTGGGCCGCAAAGAGATGAGTCTGTACTGCTGTGGTCAGTGACTGGACCGAGCAGAGAAGAGACTGTCCTTCGGGGGGGCAGAGGAGGATCTACCGGCCAATGGTGTTCATCCTCGCGTGGTATAACCCAGGAGGCTCAGGTCCAGCCCCATCCCCTTGACTCTTCCACAAAACCTTTGATACACAGTGCTGGGTTACAGGCCTAGGAGTGAGACAGAATGGAAGGTCTCATCCCCAATGCGGGTCAGTCCCTTCTCTGCAATTTATCTTCTCAGGCACAGAGAAGGTTTTCCAGGCTAGGCTGTGGCTCAGTAACCATTTCCCTTTTTTTGGCCTCCGCTAGCACAGCTCTGCCCATATACTCTCCCTTCCCTCCAGTTAGAGCAAGATGGGCAGAGCTGTACGAGAAGAGACCAGAGAGAAGTGAGGGTCTGTCTGGCATCCTTACCCTACTGGGATAAGAGCTGGGTGGCTGGACTGGGTGCACAAGCATGTCAGAGGGGAGGGAACTAACGAGTTGGGCTGCCTTCTTCGTCACTCCCCTATGGGACTATAGAGTTGTGAGCATTCTTTTTTTTTCCAGGCAATTGGGGTTAAGTGACTTGCCCAGGGTCACACAGCTAGTAAGTATCAAGGTCTGAGGCCAGATTTGAACTCAGGTCCTCCTGACTTCAGGGCCTGTGCTCTACCCACTGCGCCACCTAGCTGCCCTTAAGTTGTGAGCATTCTAACAGTTTCTGGGTCCCTGACTCGGTGGGATCAGTCTCCTCATCCGTGGAGTGGGCATATGCTACTCCTTATCTGTGGCATTGAGGAAGGAGAAAGAACAAAGACAGTCTGATAAAACACTTCCTATTTATTAAGCACATTTCGGCCCGAAGCCTGGGATGTAGTTACCCAGTGCTGCCCCAGAGAGACAATGCCAACCTGGAGATCGCTAGACCTTGGATGCTGGGGGTTTGACATTTCTGGGCCTCGGTCTCCTCATATGTATATCGAGAGGGCAGGACTAGATGACCTCTGGAGGCAGCAAGGTGGTGCCACAGTGCACGGAGCCCTGTTCCAGGAGTCAGGAAGACCTGAGTTCAAATCCAACCTCAGACACTTCCCAGCTGTGTGCCCCTGGGCAAGTCATCTTACCTCTGTCTGCCTCTATCTTCTCATCTACTAAATAGCACCTACCTCGCAGGGATGTGATGAAAATCAAATGGAATGATATTTATAAAAAGTGTTTAGCACAGGGCCTGGCTCATGCACAATAAGGACCACATAAATGCTTATTCCTTCCCCCACCAGAGTCCCTTCAGCTCTAAATCTGTGATCGAAGGCCATTGTGGTGCTCAGCATCTTGATGCCAGCCGCAAGTCATTTCCACAATAAGAATAATATTTTAAAAAGCATTTATATATGACTTTCAGGTTTCCAAAGCACTTTACATCTAGTACCTCACAACAACCCTGTGAGGTAGGTTCTATCATTATTCTCATTTTACAGATGAGGAAACGGAGGCCCAGAGAGGTTAAGAGGCTTGCCAAGTTTCATTCAGCCAATATCTGAGGCAGGATTTGAATTCAGGTCTTCCTGTCTCCAAGTCCAGCACTCCATCTACCGCACCACCCGGTGGCCTTCAGGGCTCAGGGGAGGCTCAGGCACTCATGTGAATCAAGCTTGGCCAGCTCTGCTGGTAACTTGTCTTCCTTCTGTTACACAGAAAAATTAATTCTTTTATTCACTCGTTGTTGAGGAAGGGCTTACCGTGTGCACAGCACCATTAATGGATATGTACAAAAAATCCTGGCTATATACAAGAGCCTCTGGTGGCATATACACAACTCCAAAAAAAGTCCAATAAATGGATTCTTCCGCTGCAATAAAATGCTAGTCAGTTTCCCCTGTCATTTTGGGGAAAAGCAAAATGTGTCACTTTAGGCAGCACTGTCTGCCTGGTGCCTGCGGGCCACCATCTTCCTGCAGTCTTGACAGCGGGCTCCACCCTGACAGCTGGCCCAGCGCTACTGTCCCACGTGGGCGATGCTGCATCACTGATTCCCGTGGCACAGTTCTTTCTGGGTGGCACTGGTGGCACTGACTGCCATGGGGCAATGCTGATGGAGACACAGCTCCTCAAAAATGGAACCGCTTCTCGTCCTGAAAAACTTTGGCCTCTTCGGGCTTGATGGGGTTCCCATTCAAGCTGGTAGGAAAGACGAAAGTGAAGGAAGTGTTCATTGGGGCACATGGTGTTAGGGAGGGGAGCAATTCAGGTGATTCTGGTTTTCAAGGTTTTTGGAGGACTCTAAGCAGATGGGACACCCACGAAGTGTCTTACACTTGACAACCCAGCACCCTTTAAATAAAGGAGTGTAATTTACCAACAGTGACCCAGGGCATCCTGAGCTCTTTTATTCTGAGGTTTGTTACCTGCGTAGCCCTTCCACACACTTGACAAGCCTAACCAGCTGCTGCAAGCAGGGGACTCTAGCTGCTGTTTTCCACAGAAGGCACCACAGAGGCCATTTGATCCAATCCATACCCAAGCAACAGTTCCCTCTCTGTTGTTTAGTCATTTCAGTCGTATCTGACTCTTTGTGACACCATTTAGGATTTGCTTGGCAAAGACCATGGAGTGGTTTGCCATGTCCTTTCTCCACTCATTTTACAGATGAGGAAACTGAGGCAAACAGAGTTGTGTGACTTGGCCAGGTTACACAGCTAGTAAATGTCTGAGGCTGGATTTGAACCCAAGTCCTCCTGATTCCAAAGGCCAGCACTCTATGCACTCTGGTGCCATGGAACTGCCCCAATAGTTCCCTCTCAAAGATTCATCTTAAGTGCTCACCCAGCCTTCAACCAAAGACTTAACCCTTCAGGTGGAAGCTCAATCCACTTTTCCTAGCTTTCTTAGGAAGTTCTTCCTTCCAACAAACCCAAATCTACCCCCTGGAAATGTCTATGCATTGATCTTCTCCTCATTTCCTGACATTGAGGAAGACCAGCCTCCTCATCTTAATCTGAGATCCATGGACCTCCGGGGGTCTAGGGATAGATTTCAGGGGGTCCATGAGTTTGAAGGGAGGTGAGGAATGACATTTTAAATTTCACTAATCTCCAAATGAAATTTAACATTTCCTTCAATTCTGAATGTGGGCAGGAAAACTGATTCTGAGAAAAAGTCCACAGGCTTCACCTGCCTGCCAATATGGGGGGAGGGAAGGGTATCGAGGGTCCAGGACCCAACAAAGGTTAAGAAGCCCTACTTAACACCTATCAGATTGGCCAACACGATAAAACAGGAAAATGCTAAATGTTGGAGAAGATGTGGGAAAATTGTAACTCTAATACATTGTTGGTGGAGTTGTGAAATGATCCAACCATTTTGGAGAGCAATTTGGAACTATGCCCAAAGGGCTATAAAAATGTGCATACCCTTTGACCTAGCAATACCACTTCTAGGGCTGTATCCCAAAGAGATCATAAAAATGGGAAAAGGACCCACATGCACAAAAATATTTATAGTAGCTCTTTCTGTGGTGGCCAAGAATTGCAAGTTGAGGGGATGCCCATCAATTGGGGAATGGCTGAACAAGCTGTGGTATATGAATGTAATGGAATACTATTGTGCTATAAGAAATGATGAACTTGTGGACTTCAGAAAAACCTGGAAAGACTTGTTTGGACTGATGCTGAGTGAAGTGAGCAGAACCAGGAGAATGTTGTACACAGTAACAGCAACATTGCACGATGACTAATATTGATAGACTTAACCCTTCTCAGCAATACAAGGATCTAAGACATCTCCAAAAGTCTCAAGGTGGAAAATGCCATCCACATCCAGAGAAAGAACTATGCAGTTTGAATGCAGATCGAAGCATACTATTTGCTATTTTTTTCTTATGTTTTGTTTTGTTTCTTCTTTCTGGTGGTTCCTCCTATGGGTTCTAATTCTTACTTAGAACATCACTATTGTGAAAATATGTTTAATAGGAATGCATATGTACAGCCTATATCAGATTATGCACCATGTTGGGGAGAAAAGAGGGATGCGAGAGGGAGAAAAATTTAAAACTCAAAAACTTATGGAAATGATTGTTGACAAATCAAAATAAATTAATAACAAAAAAAAAGCTCTACTTTAAGCCTAAGCAGAATGAGTCTGAGCCCTATTCCATCAATATTTCAAGACAGCAACCACTGTCCCATTTCCAGGTTAAATATTCCTGGTTCCTTCTGTTACATGGCATTCAAAGCTTTTCTCCATCTGGCCCTTTCTTTCCCCACATCACTCCTGCTCTCACACTCTCCAGGCATCCTGGCCTATTTGCTGTTCCTTATACGTGGTGTTTCCTATCTCTGGGCCTTTGCACCGGCAGTTCCTCATGCCTAGAACGCTATTTCTTAACCTCTGCTGTGTTCAATCCTGAGCTTCCTTTACAAGGCAGCCCAAGGGTCAGTTCCTCCAGCCTTCTCATCCAAAGCTCCCTTCTGATGGGGTACTTGGGTGCTTGTGTTTGGGTGCTCGTACTCGGACCCCAATTTCTCCCTAGCCTCAGAAACACTGTCCCTGACAGTTTCTCACCAGCCCAAGGACCCTGTGCTTAGCAATTACTCATGAGTGGGCCCCAGCAAGACACATATCTCTCCCTGGTGCAGTTCCGAACAGCACCTGAAGGATTTATTAGTTTAAAACTGGCTTTGCACTGGGTCATAAAGACATTCTTACCCACTACTATACTATCCTACCACCCTACCTTATTATCTGGGCTCCTCACTAACTGTATTCTAGACTTAAGACATATGTATACTCCCTACATCTATCTTGTCAAACAAGACATTGATTGGTGGCAGACTGGACAACTCTCAGTTACCCTGAACTCTGGTTGATTTAATGACGTAGCAGGCCTAAAACCACACCTCCATGTGGCCCCCCTTGTGGGCTTTTCCTAGTGAATTCTGGGTAAAACCCCTGTGCAGTAGGTACAAGAAGTGCATGTTCTTTTAAGAACTGACCACTCCTTAACCACTCCCTAACCCCACCCTGAATCCCCTAGTTAGCATATTTGGCACATGTTTTATTGTGTTTTATCCTATATAAACTTTAACTGTACCTCTCTAAGGTTGCAGGATCCTTTAAGAATCCTTGCCCGCTGAAAAGCATAACAATAAACTTTGCCACCTTGGCTTAAAGAATGCTTGAGTCTGTGAATTCATTCCAGATGACCCATGTACTTAAGTCTTTGAGGGGTCACAACCTCTCAACCTCTCAGCCCGCAACACTTCCATACACTCTGCATTTATGTCCCATGTAATCATTTGCGTGTCTGTGTCTCCCCCATCAGAATGTACGCTCCTTGAGGGCAGAAACTGTTTTTGCAGCTAATTTGCATCACTAGTATTAGCAGAGTACATAGCAGATGCTAAGTGCACAGTAAATGCTTAGTGATGGGTTGGCCATTTGCCTTGGGCTTTCCCTCATTGAGGCTGTTTTCCTCTGAACAGTCACTTGCTCGTCAGATGTCCTTCCTGAAGTGTGGCTCCCAGAATTGAGCCCCATACCCCAATGTGGCCTGAATGGGGCAGGTGTGACACAGATCCAGGCCTCTAGACTCTACAGTGAGCAAAGGATGGCCTGCCTTCTGGCTAACTGTCTGCCCAGCAAAAGAGGGAGTAGGGAGTTACATTGAAACTAGGGGAAAAGAGTGTGAGATTTTTTTTCCCTTTAAAACAAAAACTCTGTTAACTTAAAACCACACAGTGTTCAGACAGAAGGGGTGGGCACCGCTTTGCAGCTGCTAATACCACAAGGTCCTTGATCAGTCTTCCCGGAAGCTGTTTTCTGGAAACTGCAACCAGGATTATCTTTGTATTCCCTAACTGGAGTCTGCCTCCCTGGCCATTGACCAAGCAGTCAACAATATGGCCCTCTGGCCCTCCCGGAGACAGCCCTCTCTGCATCCCTCCAAAAGCAGGGCATGAGAACACGAACGCCGACAGCCAAGCCCGGACTCTCTGCATTACCGAGAGCTCTTCTGCTCTGCCCAGTTCTCAGGAGGAGTCCCTCCTGCGTCCTGAGGGGCAGCTTCATACCCTGGTTGTGGGGGACAGGAGAAAAGCCTGGGAGGTTAACAGATGTGGCAAGAACCATTTGTGTACACAAAGAAGCTAAAGCAGCCCCTCTCCTGCTTAAGCTGACCCTTCCCTACTGCTGAGCAGCCTAGCTCTTTGGGAATCATGTATTCAGTTTATCGATCCTGTTTCCAATGTTTCCAGTCTATACTGTTTCCTGTTTCCACCATGTCCTATAGCAGACTGGACCTAGGGTTGGACACCTAGAGCTTTGCCTCAGAGCACTGAAATGTAGAGGGTATACATCTTCAGGAAAGACCAGAAACAAGTGAGTTCAGTGCATAATTAGCAAGGGTCATTATTTAAATTAAGAAGCTAACAGATGGCCACTTACTTCCTACTTCAAGACTGTACCCTAAAAAAAGCCTCTATGCTCCACCCTTCCTTGTTCACACAACCGCACCCCTCCCCCCCAACCATGAATGTCTTTAAAGCTGATCTGAAGACAAACTTTGTGCTTCTTGGCCTGAGGATAACAATGAAAAGTCTCCTGGTTGGCTGAAGAGTCGGAAGGCCTAATGATTCAGTAAAGGCTAATGGGAACTGAGTGTGCAGATAAAAAGTCTGAGCAAGTGATCTCTCATTCTCTTATCTAGCAGCTTTCAAATGAGGATGATGGCTGTGGGCTGCCCGGTAGGAAGCTCTACTCCTACCTGGCTGCCATGTGTCTATGAGTACATGGTGCCCCTGTTTCTTTGCTGTTCATTCTTTGCTGATCTTAGCTAATGAGTATTGTGAGATGGGAATGCCTGGGTGACCAGGAGATACATCATGGGAACAGTCAGGTGACATCCATCAAGGCCACCTGAAGTCCCACTGATGAAGAGAATCCTGGAGCTGGTGGTAGCAACTCACCCCTGGGTTGGGGGTGTTTTGTAGCAACCCCTTTAAATGAGATCTCACTACTCCCAGAGACTTAGTGTGTGAAGAGGGAGCCCGAGTCACCTGTTTTGGGGGATGGTTTTACAATGTCTTTCCTTGTTATACCTTCTAATATTCTTTTGTCAAAGTTAATTGATATCAGCTGGTAGGAGTGTCCTAGATGGGATCATGAGCGATAGGACTGGAGTATCCCAGGCCTTCTGTGACCCAATGATAGAACCCCCAAGAATCCCCTTCTGTGGACCTCCCTGCCAAAATGAACAGAAGTTGGAAGAATGAGCAGAGGTGGTGCTACAAAGGAAAATGCTTTGATGAAACCAATGGACAGAGCCATGGCGTCTGACACCACCATGGCTGCCCATCTCTCTACAGAGATGACAGAAGTGTGCTTCATCACTTATTCTGAACCAAAACTGGCCATTACAAGACATTGGAGTCAGCTTGCTTTTTCAGTGTAGACATGAGAGGGGACTGAGAGGTCATCCAGGCCAACCTCTTTAGGTGCGGTGGGGCAGAGAGAGAGAATAGGGAGGGGAAAGTCTATCACCTATTAATACAGGGAGAAGCAAGCCATTTGGCAATTCTTCATTAGCACAACCAAGTTAGAAAGTCGAGGCAGCACAGTTCAGTCAAAACTCTATCTGGAAATATATTTCGAATCCAAGGAACTGGGAGAAGTGTCATTCCAAGACTCATTATCATATCAACTTGAACCTTCTGGGATTTAAGAACTATAAAGGGGATTCATCTTCAGCACCAAATATGTCATCAATGTTTCCACCCCAACCCACAAGGCAGGGAAGGGCACTGGGCCATACCAAATATCCAGGATGGTTGAGTTCTTCTGGAGAGCATCCGCCAGGCGTGAGATCCCCTTGGCCGTGATCTGGTTCTGAATGAGCCTGAAAAAAGAAGGCACCTTGTACTAAACAACTCTCATCGTGGCCCTGGGGCGGGAGGGCAGCAGACACGGCCAGCTCTCAGAGACACAAAACACGTTTTATCGCTAAGATGTGCTTTTCCCGAAGTTCCTTCCAGCTTCTAGTGAGAAAGCCCCGTCATGGGGCTGCCAAAGGATGCAGATGCCCTTTGCTTTATGGTGAAGGAAAATGGATTGATTTCCAGTGTTAAGTGGGGTTAAGCTGTAACCAGCTGGGACTCATGAGACACTCCCAGGCTGCATTAGCTGACCTTTCCAACATGAAATGGGCTGCCTCGTATGGAGAGAGCTCCCTATCACTGGAAGTGGTCGAGCAGAAGCTTCCTGACTCCCCTCCAGGGACGTGAGAGAGGGGCTCTAATAGAGGGTGGTGGGCAGGACTAGTGACCTAAATGTACAGATGGTTGGGGCTGGATGGGGCAATGAGGAGGTCAAGGCTAATAAAGTTTAGGCGGTTTGCTCACAGCCACATAGACAGGCACAAAGTCAGGATTTCAGCCTCAGTCTCCTCCCTTGACCATCTCCAAACTCTCCTATTCTAGAGTGTTTTCTAGAACAATGAATATGAACGTGAGCAGCTACTGAGACAAAGCCAGGTCCTAACTCTGCTGCTTGTGACCTATGTGTGACATTGGAGAAGTCACTTAACCCTGGTAGGCTTCTCTTCCCTTAACTGTAAAATGAGGGGCTGGTCTAGGCAGCCTCTAAGTTTGTCCAACTCTAGGTGTAGGAAACTATTACGTTACAGTAGTACTGCCTGGCCTCAGTTTCACCATCTGAAAAATGAGGGGCTTGGTCTAGATAGAGAGCCTCTGGGCTTTCTTCCATAGATTCATATCTATGATCCTCTCCACATTCTAAGAGAGAAAGAGGGAGGCAGAGGGCAGGAAACAGCTTTCATCTGCCATGATCTGAACGTCTTCATGGGTCCCAGTAGAATTTCTACCATAGGTCAGTGTGCTGGGATGTAGCCATGACCCTCAGAGTCACAGCAAGGCTGAAATCCTCATGTGCCTGAAGCCAGGCTTAAAACTCACGTTGGGTGCATTACTGTTTGCCAGGCATGCTGAGCCTTTCCCAGAACCCATGTGACTTGGCTTGCACAGGACAGGGAGCTCTGTACCATGAAGGCTTACTGACATTAAACATTCATGGCCTGATAAGAATTATTCTGAACTTGTCCCTCATTGGGCCCACTTACGAATTCACTTTTGCTCTGCTTTGTCCTCTAGGAAGGAAGGAAGGGGCCAAATGCTACAAAGGTCGGGGGATGTGGCTGCAAAGTACAGTGTGTTTCTGAAAGGCTCCCCTGGGGCAAACCCTTCTAGCTTGGTGCCCAGGCCAAGCAAGAGGCAAACAGTGAGGTATCCCACAGCAGTGAGGTTGAATATTTTGTTTGGCTTATACCACACATTCCCAGCAGGCAACTGTTTTGGCAACACCGAGCTGGGAGGTGAAGTGGGAGATGGGGGGAGGTTGAGCTTTCCTCATTTCTGTGGCAATCATAGGGTTCAGATCTGGGACCACCTAGTCTAGAGATTCTTAATAAATGCTTTTTAATCGATAGAAGAAGAATTCATTGATTAAGGCCTAATTGTTAGTTAGAAACCCAGGTCTCTTAATTTTTAGCTGGGTATCCTTTCCATCACAAAATGGTAGTGATAACCATTGGTGAGGCTTAGATACGCTCACTTTGGCCCAGGAAGGGAGGTCATTCCCAGGACCAGGATTACCAAGAACAAACTGGGGCAGGTTTACAAGGCCATGAGACTGATCCTCTCACTCCAAATCCAGCTGGACACCTGCCCACCCTTAGCCTGACTGCCTCCACTACATCCTCCTTCCCCCGCCCTTCATGCTGCCCCTCTTAAAGGTTGGGTCAGGGAAATGGGGAAAAGAAGACATCTCCTAGTGCTATTCGCCATGTCCAGGAGTAAGAGGGAGACCCCCAGGCCCTGACTTTTTTCTATCATGGTCAGCATTGGCAGAGATCCTAAGATCGTCCTAATTTAATCAGTCAACAAGCATTTTATAAAGGACCTACTATGTGCCAGGCACCGTGCAGGGGATACAAAGACAAAAGCAAAACATTTGCTACCCTCAAGGAGCTTATGTTCTAACAGGGGATACAACATGTAAAAATATATAGTAAAGGCACACAAGAGACACGTAGAGCAGACACAAGAGGTTTAGCGTCGGGGCCTCAGCAGTCATCTCGTCCAGCCCTGTCGCTGGATAGAGGCAGTAATGGAGGCCAAGGCAGGTAAGCGACTTGTCACAAGTGGCAGGTCCAGAATCCGTACATCTCCACTGCCCCTCCATACTCCCCTCAATGGCATAGGCCCTGTCATGGGCCCTCAGCTATTTTATTGGGCGAATCTGTCAGTATTCAGCCCAGGGCTCAGCAAAATCACACGCTGGCAGGTTCACGTACACACCACAGCCACAGCCGTCGAGATCAGACTTAAAACATCATTGGGCAATGTTTAATAAGATAAGTAAAAATACTACAGGACACAGATAATGGTCATGTGTGGTTTTCCAAGTCAATATGTGGCTGCAGGGATCCTTATATACAGGTCAGTGACCCTGTTTCTATATACGTTTGATGTCCCTGGTCTAACAAATCCTATAGGTGGGAGCTACTGAAATTACCACAAATCTCTCAGCGTCTGATTGACTTCCAGCATCTCCGCCAAGCTCTCCGCTACTTCGTCATCGAGGTTGTTTTTGGTCAACCTAGACAAGAGAGGACGTGGTTAGCTCACCCTGGGCATAAAAGAAAAATGCCAGCCCACAGGAGCACGTGAGGTCAAGGCCCTGTTTACAGCTTGACAGAGACTGGCCAGGAAGGCAAGGCCTCCATCCCTCAAAAGATAAACCCAAACAGAAGACAAGACTAGAGGGGCCATGGAGGCACCGGAGATAGGCGCTAGTGCGGAATGTCCATTGGCCTTCAGCCAGAGGTGATTGTCCCAGAACGGGCAGATCTGCAACCCCATCTTCCTGATCTGGCTGCTTCTCTAGAAAGGGACCCTCATCACCAAGAACTAAATGGCCAGACCAATGTTTGGAAAAGGTGGTGAATCGCCCATGAAGTCAGGGAAGCTGTTATGACATGAGAAACTCATTGCTGGAAGGGCAGAGGGACACAAGCCACCTGATTCACTCATTGCTGGTGGGCTCATAGGGAAACAATCTGAAAAATGGAAGGAAAGCTTCCCAGTGGTTCATGTGCTTTGATTCAATGATCTCATTACTGGGACTGTATTTCAAGGTTATTGAATGCGAATAAAAGACCCAATAGGTGTGAAAATATCTACAGAATCATCACTGGTCATAAGCAAAAAGGTGAAGGTAGACTACGTGCCCATCGAGAGCAGAGAGCTGAGAACACTGGTCTGTGAAGGAATGGACTGTTTTGTCAGTGTGAGGAATAGCAAATAAAAAGAATTCATAGAGAACACGGGAAAACTTGTATGAAGAGATGCTGAGTGAAGAAAGCAGAGCCCAAGGGATAATATACACGCAATGACTGCAGCCACCCACAGTCAATTTGGCGAGAGCACAAAATCACAAGGGTCAATGTCAATACTGTCCTGCCAGAGTTAAAGGAACATCCCTCCTTTCTACTAAGCAATCAGTCAGTTCTCTCAGAGAACGTGCTTTGTAAAAGGGTTTGTTGGAAAGCGTCTACTTGGTCAGAACAAACTGTCTCAATAGATTTATTTCAAGGCTATGAGAGCCTGACGCTAGAGGCTGGTGCCATAAGTAGCAAGTACAAACTCCAGGTTGGCTTTAATTCATATTATCAAAATGAGATCATAAAGCACTTAGCACAGTGCTGGGCACATTGCACATGCCATATAAATGTTGGTAATTATGGTTATTATTATAAGACCCTCATGCTCAGTCCCACTTCTCGACTCAGCCTAATTCCTTCCCTTGCGCACTCTGTGCTCTTGCCAAAGTGACCGAGCGCCGTTCCCCACATGTGACATCCCACGTCCCACCTCCATACCTTTGCCCAGGCTAGCCCCCAAAGAGGGAAGGCCCTTCCCTCTTCTTCAGACCCCTGGCCTTCAAGACTCGACTTGAGGGTGCCTCCCCACCTCCGAGAGGCCTTTCCTGCTTCCCTCGTTGTTAGCTCTCTCCCCATCGTGTTGTACTTATTTGTGTGCCTGTTGTATCCCAGCTCCCCCGGGAGAGCCTTGCTTATTCCCTGTATTCCTAGCACCTGCCATGTAGTTAGTGCTTAATAAATCATAATGATAGTGGACATGTACAGAGCACTGTAACACTGGCCAAGATCTTTACAGGCATCTCACTGGATCCTTATAATAACACTGTGGAGTAGGTGCTATTGTTATCCCCATTTCACAGATGATGGAATTGAGGCTAAGAGATGAATGACTAACTGGCCAGGATCACATTACTGTTAAATGTTTGAGGCAGAGTTCAAACTCAGGGCTGCCTGACTCCCAGCTCTACACTCTATCCACAGCACCAACTGAAAGCTTGTTGACTGATGTACCAACCCAAACACATGCGGTGACCATTTGAGAATTCCCGAGCCCAGGTCCTCCATGCCAAGGTCCCTTGCTCCTTACCAAACTATCTTCACCGAGCTGTTTTGCTGGAGTGCTTGAGCAAGGCTTTTGCCTCCTTCCGTGGAAATGCCATTGAAGGCAAGACTGAAAAGGAAAACCACAAGGGACATTTCACTAGGGATCCCAGATATTTCTCCACTGTCACTGGGCAGTGGTCAGGGAAGCCACTGTTGAGTATCTGCTTCCCAACCAGAATGACGGAATCTTTTGGCTGAAGGCAGAAACCTCTCTCTGATCTCTGTGCTAAAGAGCTATGTCCAGAGCCCAGGACAAAGCCAGGGAAAACTTTAGCAAATGCAGGGAGTGGCGCTAGTGCCAATGGCCTAGAGAGTTTCAGGCTGTGTTGTGGCCATATATGAGCTGCAGACCAGGGGAAATTCTCTGGAGGGCTCCCAGGACAAGGCCACTAGGCTCAGGTCCCATCTTCTTCAATCAGTGTAACAGGAAAGCCCAGAGCCTAGAGGCAGGACTAGAAGGGAATTGAGAGTGAGGAAGCCAAACCTAGGAGGAGGGGGACAGAGGTAAAGGGATAAGAAGGCAGGCAGCTCTCCACACCTAGCATTCTGAGAATGAGAAAGCAGAGATACTGCTGGGGGGGGAGGGGAGAAGGTAGGGACCCTGGCACAAGCCAATCCCCTGTCCTCCCCCACCCCCACCAGGCAAGGGAAGAGGAAAATTGGATGGGCTTAGAGTGGGGCCTGCCACCACATCCTCAAAACAAGTTACCCCAGAGGTAGTGAGTGGTCTTAGGAGGCGGCACTTTGGTTACCTCAAGTTGGATAAGCTGGGGTGATTCCTCAGGGCATCTGCGAAGGCCTTGGCCCCTTCATCTCCTATCTTATTGCCCCACATTCTGAGAAGAAAAAGTCAGAGAGAGTTCAGTATCCCCAAGCCAGGCCCACTGGAACCATCTCCCATTCTCCCTTGGAGGACTTAGGCCTTAGCAGACTCTTCTAAGTGATAAGAGGTGGGTGTGGGAGGCAGTGTGGCCCAATGGAGAGAAAACGAGGCTTGGAGGTTGAGGACATGCATTCCAGCACCGCAGTGCTGCTACCTGCTGAGTGACCTTGGGCAAGTCATCTTGTGTTTTGAGATGAAGTGACTTGCCTATGATCACAGAGTGAGCACATGAAAGGGCCAGGCCTTGTGACACCAGACCAGAGATCTTCCCAGGACACCATGCATTTTTTTTGGGGGGGGGTAGGCAATGGGGTTAAGTGACTTGCCCAGAGTCACACAGCTACTTAAGTGTCAAGTATATGAGGGCTGATTTGAACTCAGGTCTTCCTGACTCCAGGGCTGGTGCTCTATCCACTGCACCACCTAGCTGCCCCAACCATGCTGTCTTATACTTTGCATGCACGTTCTTGATATGAAGAATGTTTATGACGTGGAAACTCAGGGAGGTGGGGAGATAAATCCTTCTAGGCCTCTCTACCAGATGATCCTCTGACGTTAGTGTCTCTGAGGAATTCAGCCATGAAGCCACTCCTCAGTGGGAGGGCCTTGTGGGCTTGGCAGGAGGGATATGGACAGACTAGACTGCCCAGCCCTGTCCTCAGGAAGCCTACAGTCCACTGCAGGAAGAATAACGGATGCTAAGGGGCCGAAGAAGAGGTCCAGCCCCCAAGCACTGGGGGAATCGGAGAAGAGAGAGGACTCTTTTGTCTGGGGCAGTTATCCGGAAGTCTTCTTGGGGGAGGCGTAACCTGAACTCAGTCTCAGACATCCAGCTAAAGATTTCTAGCAGGCAGTTATAGGGAGCTGGGTAGCACAGTGGATAGTGCACTAGACTAGGAGCGGGAAGGACTAGAGTTCAAATCTAGCCTCAGACACTTACTAGCTGTGTGACCCTAGGCAAGTCACTTGGCTTCTCTCAGCCTCAGTCTCCACATCTCTAAAATAGAGATAACAGTAGCGCCTACCTCCCGGGGTTGTTGCTGAGGGCCAAATAAGATAACATATGTAAAGTGCTTTGAACACCTAAAAGTACAATATAAATGCTAGTGATTATTTTCATGAGTCAGAGAAGGGGACAGGAGGTCGTGGGAGAACCTGGGGCTAGATCCAGAGATGTAGGGGCTCTTAGAACAGAGGGAATAGTTGAAGTCATGTGAAGTCACGTGGCCCGAAACTTGCTCCCCACCCCCTTTCCTAGGTGGTAGTAAATGGGGCAGATACAAGAGGGCAAGGTGACAGGGTCAACTGATGCCAACACCACAAGGATGGCATGGCCTATATAAATATCAAACAACGCATTTATTAAGTGCCTGCCATGTGTGCAGCACAGTGTTAAGGCAATCCCTGCCCTCAGGGAGCTTACAATCTAATGGAGTCCCCAGGATGGCCTGTAGGGGGCCCAGGCCAGCGTCCTAGAGAGCTGCTCACCTCTACACACAGGCGCCTACTCACCCAATGTCCAGGATTGACTTGCTCTTCTTAATGGCCAAGGCCAGACATTTTCCTCCTTCACTTGTTATATAGTTTGCTCCCAGTCTGTGGAGAGAGTTACGACATTTCTGTACAAGAAAAAAGGAATGACCCAGAAAGTCTATGCCCCAGCCCCTATTCTTCTGGTCACTAGGAAGATCATTTACTGAATGCAACAGGAACCAGGTAACTTAAAGTCAGAAAGCTGCTAGGATACTGGGGCAAAGAGAGTCCAAATAAGACCTCATCCTCACTGACATTTACATAGCACTGACCATGTGCCAGGCACTGTGCTAAGTGCTTTATAATATAATAATGCTGTTAGATAATGGCTAACATGCCAGAAACTGACTATCCACTCCCTTCTGAATTTTAATGACCCTTCAAAAGGCTAAGGGAAGGGAGGAAATGTATCCCATCCCCCGCCCCCACACCAACCAGACACCCTTCCCCATCTCATCTTCTGTTCCCCTCCCCATCTGCCCCCTCCCCAGCCCAAGGCAGTTTAACTCACTTCAAGTGCGTGAGATTCGTGCACTCCTCGAGGATCTTAGCAACGTATTTGGCTCCAATGTTGGTAATTTGGTTACTGTATAACCTTGGAGAGAAATCACAGTTTCAGGCAAAACTTTAGGACGTCTTGGCGTGATGTGGTCTGGGGGCTTTAACAAGGCAAAAGTCTGTGATGAAAAAAAGCACTAGGTCTGAAGTCAGATGATGCAGGTTCAAATTCTGGCTCTGTCAATTACTATAAGTATAATACAAATAATAATAACAATAATACCTACAATTTTATAGTGCTTTAAATACTTATTCTGTTACTTCACCCTCAAAACAATCCCAGAAGGTTGGTACTATTGTTATCCTGTTTTGCAGATGAGGAAACTGAGGTAAATGGAGGTTAAGTAACTGGCCTGGGGTCACACAGTTCTAAGCCAGATTTGAACTCAGGTTTTCCTGGCCAGCACTCTAACCACTGAGATACCTAATATAACTTTGGGGGCAACATACTTCCCCTCTCAGTCTCATTTTCCTCAACTGTAAAATGAGAGGTCGACTCCATGACTTCCCAGTTCTCTTCCATCTTGAAAACTAGGATCATTTAAAAATCACAAATTTTTATTGGTCTCTTGTTTTCACTTATTCAATCTCTCTCTCCTCACACCCCTCCCAGAGAACTATTACGAGAAAGAATTTAAAAGAGAAAAATCAGTGAAACCAATCAATGCATCAGAAAAATCTGTCAATATATACAATATTCCACACCCTTGGACCCTCCCCTGCTTCTGCACTCACAGTTCCATGAAAGAGTCAGGGGAGATGCCTTTCCATTGCACTTTTTGGGGCAAGCTTATTAGGTCTTTTCTTTCTTTCTTTCTTTCTTTTTTTCTTTTTCTTTCTTTCTTTCTTTCTTTCTTTCTTTCTTTCTTTCTCTCTCTCTCTCTCTCTCTCTCTCTCTCTCTCTCTCTCTCTCTCTCTCTCTCTCTCTCTCTCTCTCTCATTCTGTCTCTCATTCTCTCTTTCTTTCTGTGGGTACCATAGCCTGGGGTGACAAGGCCAGGGAAGAGATTCCAAAAGCCTGGAGGAAATTAAAATTAACCCACAAATAAGTCACTACTTTTTATTTCATCCTCTCCCCCAAGTGATGCAGATATAGCAATCCCTCTACAACTTGCTGGGGTCATTGATACAGAGCTAGAAGGGACCTCAGAAACCACTCAGTCCAACCCTCTCATGTTGCAGATGAGGAAACTGTGGTCCAGGGACTTGGCCAAGATCACCCAGGGAATAAGTGTTAGATGAAAGTTTTGAACTCAGTGTCTTGACCCCAAAGCCATGCTTTTTTCACTACAGAACACCAAAGATGGTCTTCAAGGGTTGCCGTGGTTACAAAAATTGACCCTGTTTCCAGCCCTCCTTCCCCCACTTTTCCAGGATATTTCTGGACAACAAACACACATCCCCTCCTCAGGTGTAGACCTGAAGTAGTTCCTGTTCGGGGGAACCTGTCAGAGCCTGCTGGCATGGCCTTCCAGCGCCTTACATGTCATCAAGGGCACCAGAGGAAGACTTGAATGGAGGCATCTCCAAGACAGCCCATCGTCCCCTTCCAGATGCATGTCCTCATCCCACATGCCTTTCCTGGGGCCATTTTGCTCCTTGATGGCAGGTCAACGCCATGGCTATAGACATAAACTTGGAGCTTCAAATGAGATTGCAGGATTGTCAGGGAATCTTAGATGGCTAGACCTCGAAGGGACCTTGGAGGTCACTGGCTGCCTCCCCCCGTTTTACAGACTGGGAAAACTAGGGCCTTGAGGAGGGAAATTAACTTGTTTGGTGTCGCACAGCAGAGTCAAAACTAGAACACAAGTCTTCTTCCTCCCAGGGCAATGTCTTACCATGGGTTGTACGCCCAAAACTGAAGCTTCACACTCATTGTTCCCATCCACACCCTAAAATACATACCCCAAAAATGTCAAAATTTTGTATTTCGTTAGCTCCTCATACAGCACCTTGACACCAGAGTCGGTGATCTGATTCACACTGAGTCTGAAAGGAAACAGGAAATAAACAGAATGGACAAGCTGGTCTGGCTACTTCTTACCAGCCTGGGTCTGCTACCCACAGGGCAGTTCTCATGGACGCTAAGATGCATGACCCTGCTGGCTGTCACAGACCCTGAAATACCATGCTGCTCACAGGCTCAAGAGGGGGAAGAGAAAGGAACAGGCACTAACCAAGCACCTACTATGTGCCAGGCACTGTGCTAGGTACTTTTTAGAAATATTATCTCACAACCTTGTGAAGTAGGTGCTGTTATTTTATAACCTCATTTTATAGATGAGGAAACTGAGGAAGACAGAGGTTAGTGACTTGCCCAAGGTCACACAGGTAGTGAGGGTCTTAGGTTAGATTTGAACTCAGTTCTTCCTGACTCCAGGCCCTGCATTCTGTGCACTATGGTGCCACCTAGCTGCCCAAAGAGCCCCTTAGTTTCATTCAAGTTTGACCCATTTAACAAGGAATGTGTAGAGAAATGGAGAGAAGGCTGGATCTGGAGAATGGAAGACCTGGATTCAAATCTGACCACAGACTTTGTGACTTTAAACAAGTCACTTAAGCTCTATTGACCTCCATGTCCTCATCTGTAAAAGGAAAGTGCTGCACTCAAGGACAGCAAAGGTCCCACACAGCTCTAAAACCAGGACTTTCCCATAACGTGGCCAAGGACCCATATCATTCATCTAGAGAGGGATCCGAGTCTCAGAGAAAGGAGGCGACTTGCCTTTGGTCCACAGCGAGTGAGTAGCAGGGGTAGGATTCTAACTCAACTCCCAATTCAGCCCTCTCTCCAGGGTGCCTCAACAGGGACTATTTGTGGAAAATTCACAGGGACTCACAGATTCACAGACTATTTGAGCTCCAGCTCAGGAACCTCAAAGACCATTTATCAAACCAACTCTTTTCACAGATGAAGAAACTGGGGCCTGAAGAGGAAGGAGAGGGGCAGCACAAGCTAGGGCCTGGTCTGGATCTAAAACCTATTAGATGTGTTACCCTGGGCATGTCTATTCCCCTCCTTTGGGGCCTTGATGGCCTTAACTGCAAAATCGGGCTAAGTTTACCCATTGCACAGACATAACATCCTATCCTGGCTGTCTTCTTGCCATCTGTCCTGCCTGCCTCACTCCGGTGGAAAACTGGCACCTGCCATCCACTGCTGGCAGTCACTTCAGATTTCGTCCAGTCAGTAAGCACTTATTAAACACCCACTGTGTACCAAGCATGGTGCTAAGTGCTAGGGATACAAAGAAAGGCAAAAACACAGGGCTGGCTCTCAAAAAAGTCACAGTCTAAGGGGGAGGTAACATGCAAGCAACTACATATCAATAAGATATAGACCAGATAAATTAGACAGGATCAATAGAGGGGTGGCACCTTCCCAGGGGACTTCAACCACAGCTCTGGAACTCCCACCCTGGGGCCTGTGCTGTCCCGACTGGTGAGTGTGTAGCTATGGGCTTCAACCAATCTTCTGATTCCACTCAGGCCACCATCTTGCCAGCTCCCCTCCTGGCTTCTCCCTCCTCTCTGCCCAGCTCTGAAACCATACATGACTGCCCCTCCTCCCGGAGAGCACCTGTCGATTAGCTCCCCTCTGTCTCCAGTCACTAACCCAGTGTCTTCTCAGGCCCAAATAGCCAGGCCTGGTCACCCTTCTTCCACCTAAGTCCTCCTAATAATAGAATGGAAGTTCCCTGAAGGCAGGGACTAATTTTCTTTTGTATTTGTATCCCTAGCTTTAGCACAGTGCTAGGCACATAGAAAACACTTCTAAGAAATGTTTTTGTTAATTCATTTGCTCACAAGGCTGTGGAGAGAATCAAATGGATGGACATATGTAACATGCTTTGCAAACTTAAAACATTCTATCAAGGATGATTCTGAACAGCACCTTGAACCCAGGTGTCTCCTGACTTTTCACTGCATCACACATTTCTAAGGCTCCCGGGAATCCTGGATTTGTACACCATAAATGACTTCAGCTAACTCCTTCAAACTTAGGAGGTATCGTGCCCAAATCTGTTCATTTAATTCAAGTGCTGCAGTGGATAGAGAGCTGGGTCTGAAATCAGGCAGACCCCAGTTTAAATCTGGCCTGAGTTACAAGCTGTGTAACTTTCGGCAAATCATGTCACCTCTTCCTGCCTCCGTTTCCTAAATTACCTAGCTCCCAGGGCTGTTGTGGGCATCAGTTGAGACAATTGTAAAGTGCTTAACACAGTGCCTGCACACAGTAGGTGCTATGTAAATATTAACTATTATTATCTTGAGAGGCTTTCCCTTTCCCTCCACTTCTAGCACTCTCCCTCTGGAGATTACATTGCATGTATTTTGCTTTCCCTTATTTGTGAATGTTCACCTTCTCCCCAGGATTATGTAGGTTCCCTAAGGGCAGGCATTTTATTGCCTTGGTGGGTGAATCCCCAGTTCCCATCTGAGCAGGCTTCAATAAATACTCGCTGAATGAATGAATGAGGAAGCCACCCGGCCCAGGCACCCAGCGCCAGGACCCAAGCCCGGGTCTTTCCACCGCGTCGGGAGCCATTCACCCAGCGCGGGCGAGCTTGGCAGCAGGCTTCACCTGAGGACCGTGAGGCGGCTGAAGCAGGGGCGCAGCTCCTTCACCCCGTAGTCATTGACGTTGTTGTTGTCCAAGTCGAGCGCCAGCTGCTTGGGGAAGTGGTTCAGGACGAAGGAGAGCGCGCTGCAGTCAGCAGAGCAGGCGTTGCAGTAGGTGAGCTTGATGTAGTTGGCGCAGATGCCTCTGGCGGCCAGCTGGCCCACCTTCTGGCTCTGGGTCTCGTAAATGCAACGCAGCATCCAGATGAAGGTGGGCATGGCCTGCACTTGGTTGAACTCCCCCGTGTGAGTGCGGGGCAGACTCTTCAGGTAAGAGCGCAGGCTGGCAAACAGGTGCCTCCAGAGAGCCCTCCGCTTCTTGCGCAGGGCCACTACTGGCACCAGGTGCCGAAGGAGCCTCTGCTTGGCCTTGGACAGCAGCCCGCACAAGAAGAGGTTGGTGAACTGGAAGTGGTCATTGTTTCGGAAGGGGTCCTCCTTGTCCAGGTTGCTCCCCCCAAGGCAGCTCAACCTGAGCAAGGGGAGCGGGATGGAGGCTGCGCTTTGCCCCCTGGGCGTCCACTCACCAAAGAACTTCAAGAGCTCCCTCGTGTTCACCTTGTCGTCAGCGATGAGGAAGAGGGCCGTGAAAAAGGACTGGAGAGTGATGTGGAAGAACTCATAGGCCGGCTGGTCTCCCACGGGCCCGGGCTCCGGCACCGCCCGGACAAAGCCCAGCTGGAGGTCCCCCTCCTGCACGTCGGAGGCCTCCACCTCCTCCTGGCTGAAGACAAAGAGACTCTTCAACATGCCCCAGTAGGCAAGCCGGCCCAGGGCACACAGAGTCTCCCGGCCCGAGCGGAAGGTCTCCACCTGGCTCCGCATGTTCCGCTGCAGGAGGCTGGTGGGCAGGGCTCGGTTCAGGTGGGCCTCCGCCATGAGCAGGAAGATGTCTGTGAGAGTCAGCGTTTGGTCGGGCAGATGATGGGCGCCCTCGTGGGTGGCGTCGAAGTGCTGGAAGCACTTGAAGATGATCCAGCAGAATAAGGGCACCGAACACAGGGTGCACAGGTGGGGGCTTGCGTCCAGCTGGTTAAGAACTCGCACCTGCAGAGCCCGGTCCGGGAAGAACTTACAGGTGTAAGCCCGCAGGTGGCTGGGGGAGAAGCCCCGCAGTTGCACCTTCTTCCGGATGAGGGCACGAGGGACTTCGACGCCGGTGCGGGAGGTCAGCACCTTCCCCGCGCCCGGAAGCAGCTTGCCCCGGAGCAGGCTGGCCAGCAGGGCCAGGGGGTGGGCGGGCTGCAGCGGGGAGGCGGCGTCGGGCACCTGGCTCAGGTCAAAGTCCGAATGCAGTTCGTCAAAGCCATCAAAGGTAAAGAGGACGGACTGAGGGAAGCGCAAGAGGAAGGCGAACACGGCGTCAGGATCCAGCTCCGGGCAGCAGCTGTGCGTGAAGAGCAGGTCCCGGAGGCTGAGGGCCGCGCTCGGGGGGAAGCAACTGAAGGTGCGGCAGCGGAAGGGGAAGAAGAACTTGGCCTCCGAGCCCAGCTCCTCCCGCGCCCACAGGCTCTGCATCTTCTGCAGCAGCACTGACTTGCCCACGCCCGCATCGCCAAAGATGAAGACCGTCTCTCCCTCCTGGTTGATGACTCCCGCGGGGTCGTCCAGTAGGGAGCCCAGGCTGCTCACGGTGCCCAGGCTCTCGTTGCGAAAGTCCAGCAGCTCCATAACGTTCTCAGTGTATGTGTCCGCCAGCAGCATCTCCTCCTTCTGACTGTAGGAGGTGAGGAACTTGGAATCCCGGCCCCACTCTGAGCGCAGCTTCTGGGTGTACCTGCTTACTGGTGGAGGAGCGGAGGGGACAGGACGGGGCAGGAGGGCGAGAGGGAGGGAAGGGAGGAAGGAGAAGAGGGGAGAGGAGAGAGGGAGAGAAGGACGAAGAGGAGGAGGAGGAAAGGGAGAACAGGAAAGGAAGGGAGAAAGAGAGAGAGGTGAGGGCAAACAGTGTCATTTCCAAGAATGAGAAGCTGGCTTCCTCTACCCTGTGCAAGAAAGATTCTAATATCAGGAGGAGCCTATTGTGATTCAGGAAGAAATTACCTTAACTTTTCACCTAACATGCATTCTTTTTAAAATATTTTATTAATATCTTGTTTTTACATCATCTTCATATCCAAACATTTCAACCCTCTTGCCTTACCCAGAGAGCCATCCCTTGTAAAAATCAAGTCAAGTCAATAAGCACTTATTAAGTACCTACTGTGTGCCAGGAACAGTGCTAAAGGCTGGAGATGCAAAGTAAGGCCAAAGATCGTCCCTGCTCTCAAGGAGCTTACATTCTGATGGACAAGAAAACATGCAAACAGTTACGTACAAACAAGTTTTATACACAGGATAAATTGGCGGTGGTTTTGGAGGAAAGGCACCAGAATTGAGGGGGATCAGGAGAGGCTTCCTGGGGAAGGGGGATTTTAGCTGGGATTTGAAGGAGGCCAGAGAAAGTAGGGGGAGATTAGGAAGGAGAGTATGGGGAAGAGCCAGGGGAAATGTGGGGAGGTGAAATGTCATGTATGAAGAACAGCAGGGAGGCTGATGTCATCAGGACACAGAGTATGAGGAAGCAACTTGCAGAGTTGAGCTTTTAAAGGCTTTCAGAGCCAAACAGAAGATTTTATACTGGATCCAAGGAGTAATAAGGATCTACTGGAACTTCCTGAAAGTGGAGGTGACTGATTTCTGGGAAGATCACGTGGGCAGCTGAACGGAGGCAGGATGGGAGTAGGGCAGGGTGTGGTAGGCAGACCCACCAGTGGCTATGCAGTGGTCCAAGTGTGAGGTGAGGGGGGCCTGCACCAGGGGGCAGCAGTGCCCAGACAGAAGGGGCCATATTTGAGAGATGTTTTAAAGGGAGTGTCAGTGAGACTTGAGAACAGACTGCATATGGTGTGGGTGGGTGGGTGGGTATTCTTTTTAACAAAAAATAAAAAAGCAGTTTGGTCAACCGGACCCAGGTATGCGAGCAGATGCTGTGCTGTTCATCTATCCTTTCTGCCTTGGCACTGGCCGGCCTACAGGGCTGGAATGCCCTTCCATGAACAGCTCAAGCAACCTTTTCTCCAGGGAGCCTTTGTTGATAGCCGTCCTCTGCCAGCAGCCTCCCTCCTAAGCCACTCTGGGTTCATTGACTTCATACTGATGCAGGTATGTACACAATTATGTAAATTTTTGTTGTCTCTCCATTAGAATGGAATGTCTTTGTGTATAGGGATTGTTTCAATCTGTGTACCTCTCAGCACAATGCCTGGCACACAGTAGGTGCTTGATAAATGGCTGCTGGATGACTGAATGATCTGAGGGTACCTAGCCTATGTAGATCCCGTGAACTGAGTAAGCAGGAATTATTTATTGTATTTGTATGCTCAGGCCTAACAGTGCTTGGTACACTGTAACTGCTTACTACATGCTCATTGATTGATTGATTGATTGAAAAGGAAAACAATGAGTGTTTCCTACGAGAGATGACAGGGTAAGGCTCAGAACTGGGAATGCTGTAGGAAGTCCCAGAGCTCCTGGCAAATAATGCCCCAGTGACGTGGTCTGCCAGCTGGCTCCTTGGCTTACCAGGGTCAGTGTTCACAATTATTCTGCCCCTCACAAGCTCTGAGGGCGAGAAGCGGATCTCTTCCAGCCATGGCTGCAGATCGATGAATGCGTCTGGGATCTGCTGCAGCACAGAGATGAGATACTCGCACACTTCCTCCCCTTTGCTCTGAACCAAGTCCAGCATCTTACGGACCTAGTGGTGATGACAAACAGGCAGGGCATCAGCTCACCCCCACGGCTCTATTTGTCTTGGAGAGGTGCCTGGGCACACACCGGTATTGCCGCTGGGTCGGGCCCCAACTGAGCTGCTGCCTGCATGGGCTTGTTGGGCAGTGGAACCCCGGGGGAATGGACTGCCTGACTAAGAAGTGAACTGGAGAAACCCAGGAGACTGCTGATCCCACAGGCCACTCCTGTGGAATTTTCTTTTCCCTCCTCATCTCTGCTCTAATGCTATAGTCTTTCCAGGCACAAATGGGGTGCTCAGGGAAATATTCACCAGCTTGGACCACCCTCCAGGCATGGTGCTGGTGAAGCGTCAAGGGAGAAATGGGCCTGACTGATACCTTATCATTTTAGTGATGACACAATGCATCCTTATTCTCCGGGGACAAAACATACCCCTGCCTAAGGAGGAGAGAGGGCAAGACCACCAGGGCCACAGACTATTTCTGAGGCTCCTTCTTAGGGACTCTGATCCCTGAGGAATTTTCTAGTAAACAGCCACTATCCAAGAAGGATTTGTTATTGTTGTTGAAGTATTTTTACTTTTTAAAAATCGCAGGAGAGGCAGGTAGGTGGCGCAGTGGATGGAGCACCGGCCCTGGAGTCAGGAGGACCTGAGTTCAAATCCGGCCTCAGACACATAACACTCACTAGCTGTGTGACTCTGGGCAAGTCACTTATGCCCAACTGCCCTCACAAAAAAAAAAAATTGCAGGAGCTGGACCCACATGTGACTGAGAATGTCCTTTAGCACACCTCTGACAAATTCTAGGATGGTCTTTAGGGTCACAGTGGGGAACTCCCTATGACCCCCCAAGTTACAAGAAGCTCTCCACACTTTTTTTTTCAGGCAGTTGGGGTTAAGTGACTTGCCCAGGGTCACACAGCTAGTAATCTCCACACTTCTTAAAAGATGAGTGATGGAATCTAGGAAGGGAAATGTGATTGTTCCCCCACTTTTTTTTAACGTAAATTTTCATTGATAGTTTTTTTTTTACCTCATCTAAATGTCCCACTGTATCCCTCTCCATCCCGAAGAACCATCCCTTATAATAAAGATTTTGTTATAAAAAGAAAAAGAAGAGAAACAAATCAACAACTAAAAAAAAAATCTGATGCTCTACGCGATGCTTCAGAGCCTGCAGAGGGAGGCGCCCCCACCCCTTTGTGATGCAGACAGCTCAGGACATTCTTGTGCTCGGCAGCTGGCGGGTTACTCCCGTTCATCCCTTCACTAGACCAGCAGCCGCCCAAGGTTCACAGGCCAGGACTGAATGGTTCCATTAGCACTAAGACTCTTATCTTTCACTCATTTACCAGTCAGAAGCAAGAACCACAAAGAGCCTGAAGGGAAGGAGTTAGCAAGGAAGGCGGTTATCTTGTGATCTGGAAGCTGTTTGCTCCTCCAAGCAAAACAGAGGCAGGAGAGAGCAGAGCCAGAAGAACCACAGAGCGACCAGGAGGCCGACTGCGGCCTCCTGCCGAGAAGCCCAGCGGCTGCCTTGGGAGGGCACGGGTCCTCCTTCCACGGATCTGTCAATGCAGAGATGGTGTGCAGGGAATTCTTTTTCAGGTTGAGTTAAATTAGAGGGCCCTGAAGTCCCTCCCTACCATTCTGTGGCTTCAACAACAGGGGGTGAAAACAATACTTCGTGGACACAAAACTCAGTGAAAATGCAATGGCATACGTTGGTTTCAAATTATGAAAGTGAAAGCACACATCCTACCTTTTCGGTTAACATTAAAACAGCAGTGTAAGTGAGTCAGAACCAATTCTTCAGGTCGTTTTGCTTAACTGTTGGGGGAATGTTGATCACAGAATCATTTATCTGGAGCTGAAAGGGAAGCCACCCAATCCAACCTTTCATTTTACAGATGAGGAAACTGAGACCCAGGAGGATCAGGGACTTGCCCAAGGTCACACACACACAGTAAGCATCAGAGTTGGGACTTGAACCCAGATTCTCTGACTACAGAGCCAAGGTCCCTTCTCTAGCACATTTGCTGAGATTCTTCTACTGACTCAAAATAAAAAGTCTCTATTAAGGAAAAAGGCCAAACACACACACATCTGAATTGGTGAATAAATGGGTACATCATCCCATTCTCAATGGTCTTTGAGGCCAGAGGAGGGGCCCCTGTGCCACCCCCAGACCCATCAAAGACCATACCTTGTCCGGCAGAGTGGGGCAGGCACCCACAATCTCTGCATCTTCCACAGAGAAGTACTCATTGACAAGCAGGTTGTCAATCAGACACTGGACATTGCGGATGTGGGTGACCAGCCGTTCTCGGTCCGCCTTGAGCAGCCTGATGCAGGAGCGGGGGTCCTTGGGCACTGCCGTCACCTCCGGGAGGGCTTGGATTTCCATGGCTAAGGGACTTTCCCCAAATTCATCTTTGGCTGCATCTGTTTCTGGGGTCTTTTGGCAATCAGACTCTTCATGCCTGTTGCTTCTCCTTGCTCACTAAAGGGCCTGGAAAGATAAAAGCAACAAGCTATTATTGAAACCAAGCCACCAGTGCCTTCATTTTCTTCTGCTGAACCAAAAGTAGGAAAGAGAAGGAATGGGAATACACATTTATGAAGCATCTGCTTTGCACCAGGCACTGTACTAAGGCCTTTCCAGATACTATCTTACTTGGTGCTCATGACAGCCCTGAAAGGGGGTGCCATTCTTAGCTCCATTTTACAGTTGAGGAAACAGGTAGACAGAGGTTAAGTGACTTGCCCGGGTCACACAGCTAGTGAGTATGTATGGGGCAGGATTTGCACTGAGGTCTCCCTCCCTCCAAGGCCAAAACTCTTCCCATGTTCTGCTTGCGGTAGTCCTCTCTGGGATGAGAAGGAGAGGCGGTGATTTGGTACAAGGAAGGATTTTGCCTGAGAGACACAGCTACCAATACTTTATTTTCAAAAGGTTCGATCCTACGAAGTTATTCATGCTCATTTAACAATTCTGCCTGTCTGGACTCCAGAAAATAACTTTTCTCTTTAAAATCAGGCAACTGGATTTTCTAAGTAGGAGTGGGAAGAGTTGCTTCATGAGGGATAAAAAGAGGAAGCCAAGCAAAAAGAAAATCCTGCTGGTATCACTTCTTTTTTCAGTTCCTGATAATTTTAGTCACTAGGTTCTGAACTTCAGGATATGTGCTTGGAGAACACGTTTCAGGGGCCCCGGGATCCATGATTATGTCCTGTTCACTAATGCAGAGTCGTCCTCGCCTGCCTTTTGAGCTCTCATAAACTTCTGTCATGGGGGCCCGCTGAAAATCCCATCCTTCGGTATCCCCTCTGAACTTAACCAGGCTGGTCCTTGGATGGACAATCAATCAATCAATCAATCTTTGTTCAGCACCTACTATGAGCCAGGGACCATGCTAGGCTCTGGAGATACAGAAAGAGGCAAAAGACAGTCCCTGTCCTCAAGGACCTTACAATCTAGACAGACAGACAGGCACAGACATACACACGCCAAGACCACGGCATAGTCTTGGAGAACGTAGGCTCGTTTTCCTGCCGCTGAGACATCAGCATGAGGTTCTCATGGAGGGGTTCTAATGACAGCAGCCAATCAGTAGGCAGTGTGGTGCAGGGGGTTGAGTTCTAGACCAGGAATCAGGAAGACCTGGCTTCGAATCTTGCCTCTTATGAGCTGTGTGGTCTTGGGCCAAGTCACTTAGACTCTCTCAGCCTCCGGTTCCTCAACTGTGAAATAACATCACCTACCTCCCAGGCTTGTTGAGAAGATCAGATGAGATAATCCACAGGAAGGGTTTTGTAAACTTAAAAAATTATATAAATGTGAGTAATAGTAATTATTACCTATTTTTTTAATATTTGTTTTTAATTTTCAAGATCCACTTTTATAAGATTTTGAGTTTAAAATTTTCTCCCCCTCCTTCCCCTTCCCCCTCCCCAAGATGGCATGCAATCTAATATAGGCCATACATGTACAGTCATATTAAACCATATTAGTCATGTTATAAAGTCGTGTTATAAAGAAAAATTAGAACCAAAGGAAAAAAATATGAGAAGGAAGAAACAGCAAAAAAAGAGAAAATAGTCTGCTTCCATCTGCCTTCAGACTCCAAAGTTCTTTCTCTGGATGTGAATAGCATTTTCCATCATGAGTCGTTTGCAGTCGTCTTAGATCCTTGTAATGCTGAGAAGAGCTAAGTCAATCAAAGCCAGTCATCACACAATGTGGCTGTTACTGTGTACAATGTTCTCCTGGTTCTGCTCACTTCACTCAGCATCAGTCCATACAAGTCTTTCCAGGTTTTTCTGAAGTCCACCTGCTCATCATTTCTTATAGCACAATAGTATTCCATTACATTCACACGCCACAACTTGTTCAGCCATTCCCCAATTGATGGGTATTCCCTCAATTTCCAATTCTTGGCCACCACAAAAAGAGCTGATGTAAATATTTTTGTACATGTGGGTCCTTTTCCCATTTGTATGATCTCTTTGGGATACAGCCCTAGAAGTGCTATTGCTGAGTCAAAGGGTATGCACATTTTTATAGCCTTTTAGGCATAGTTCCAAATTGCTCTCCAAAATGGTTGGATCAGGGGCAGCTAGGTGGTGTAGTGGATAGAGCACCGGCCCTGGATTCAGGAGGACCTGAGTTCAAATCCGGCCTCAGACACATAACACTTACTAGCTGTGTGACCCTGGGCAAGTCACTTAACCCCATTGCCTAGCCAAAAAAAAATGGTTGGATCATTTCACAACTCCAACAATGTTTTATTGTTCCAATTTTCCCACATCTCCTCCAGCATTTATTGTTTCCCTGTTTTGTCATGTTGGCCAATCTGATAGGGGTGATGTGGTACCTCAGAGTTGTTTTGATTTGCATTCCTCTAATCAATAGTGATTTAGAGCATTTTTTCCATATGACTACAGAGGGCTTCAATTTCTTCCTCTGAAAACTGCCTGTTCATATCCTTTGACCATTTCTCAATTGGGGAATGACTTGTATTCTCTACATTGTGTTCTCTACATAGCTTACAAATGAGGCCCTTATCAGAGACACTGGTTGTAAAAAACGTTTCCCAGATTTCTGCTTCCCTTCTAATCTTGGTTGCATTGATCTTGTTTGTGCAATAGTAATTATTATCATTGTCATAAAGATAAAGAAAAAATCAGAGAACTGGAAAGAAAGCTGCAAAAGTTAATAGACAGAAAGGCTGCACAGAGATAAAATTTATTAAGAAAAACAGGCACAAGTCCTTAGCACTCTGCACACAGGAAGAGGAACAGACAAGTCGGGGTGATCTTAGAACCATTAGCATCATAGGCCTGCAGAGCCTTGAATATTAGCTCTAGAAGAGACCTTAGAGATCATTTAGTTCAATGCCCTCATTTTATAGATTAGGAAACTGAGGCCCAGAGAGTTAGTGTGCCTAAGGTCAATGCTAGAACTGAGATGAGAATCCAGGTTTCTTGACTCCCAGGTGAACCTGGCCACAGCCAGGTGGAGGTGTGTTGGGCTTGGGATGGCCTGGCGGGGCTCCAGGCTCCATTGGGTGGCAATCCTGAAAAGGAGGAGCCTGCTAATTGGTCACATGGTTTCTGAGCAGCCAGTAGGCCAGGCAGTCAGAGAGTCAATCAGCAAGGTTTGTTTTGGACCAGGTAGCTCAGCTGGTTAAAGAACCTGACTGATAAAGGCGAGGCCCCAAGTCCCACTCTTTGACTTTCTGCCTTCCTACTGTCCTGCCCTGGGCAGCTACCTCTGGAGGGAGTGTATGTGGTCTTGAAGTCCATGAGGATAACAGCTCTTTGTAAAGCTAAAAATGAGTTAAAGTCCAAGGTTCACTTCATAGCCCTGGTACTTGCCAGGGCTCCTCAGAGGACCTGGGTTGGAACCTCAGCTCTGACACTTTCTGCCTGTGTGACCCTGGATGAGCCACTAACATCCCCCAGGCCTCGTTTTCCTCATCTGTAATGAAGGCCTCTGAGCTCTCTCCCACCCCCTTGGGCAAGTCACGACTTCTCCAGCCTTCGGTTTTTTCACCTCTAACGTGAGGTGAATGCACTGGGTGACCTCCAAGGTCTGGTGACCCTCTGAAACCGAAACAGGGGCATGGTAGGGAAAGTCAGGAAGCAAAAGGCGGCAACAAGAAGCAGCCACTTTATGCCATGACAGAAAACTGTGGGTCTGGACCTTTCACTTTGGGGAAAGTACCTCAAAAGAAGAACGTGGTCTGGTAGTAGCAATGGAGGCCTGTCCTGGCCCAAATCTTGGCCTCTCTTACTGATGATTTAGCTCAGTCACAGGTGTCTCAGTGGGGTTCACTTCTCACCCTAAAGGAGGAGCCACACCCCTCTACTCGCCCTCCCCAAAGGGCTGGTGGAAGAGGCTTCTGCTTGGTAAGTCATCTGAAGATCCCCTGAGAAAGGCCTCAGAGTCAGAGACTCTCTCTCCAGCCTTCCCAGATTCCTTCTTTCTTGATCTACAAGGCATTTTCTCTCCTTACCCATCCTAGCCTCTCACGAATGCCCTTTCCATTCAAGTGTTGTTTCATCATGATGAGTAAGCACTTAAAAAGAAACAAAGAAAACCATCTGGTTTGTTACTCTAACTGGGAAGAGGCTGTGTGGTGTAATGGATAGTGCCCTGGATGGGGGGGGTCATGAAAACCTGGCTTTGAGTCCTGCCTCCGATGCTCGCTAGCTGTGTGTTCCTAGGCAAGGCACAACCTCCCTGGGCCCAGTTTCTGCAGAGGGGAAATGAGAGGGTTGGGCTCAGTGATCTCTACAGAGCGAACCAGTTCTAAATGATTATCATTATTCCTCTTATTACACTTGGTGATGCTGGATATAAGGATGAAGGTAGACTTGGCCGACCTTATGCTGGGTCTGGAGCTCCTAACAAGGCTTTGGAGCTCCAATTGATTACCCTCCAGAAACTCCAACACTTTTAACACCCAAATTAATCAATCAATCTACAATTATTTCCTTTTTTTGACTAGGCAATGGGGTTAAGTGACTTGCCCAGGGTCACACAGCTAGTAAGTGTTATGTGTCTGTGGCCGCATTTGAACTCAGGTCCTCCTGAATCCAAGGCCAGTGCTCTATCCACTGCGCCTCCTAGCTGCTCCCCCTACGATTATTTCTTAAGGGAGGCCTCTGTGTTACTGCCCAAATGTTTATGGAGCTTAGGAACATGTATACTCCAGTGTATACCCAGGCTGTCCCAGGAATCGCATAGCCTCAAGACCTCAAGACACAGCATGAAGCCAGGCTTGGGGCTGGGACCCCAGATCCCCAGGAGTCTTCTGGCCACTGCCACACTGCCTCCCTTACCAAAGGTTTTTAGAGGCAAGGAACAACAGAAAGAAGGACAGATTTGGAGTCAGAGGTCCTGGGTTCAAATCTCGGCTTCTATGATGTGGGTGAGCTGATAAACCTCGTGGGGCTTAGGTTTCCTCATCTGAGGTTGAGTCTGAAGGCCTGACTTTGAATTCC